CTTGACTTGCGCCTGCTCTTTTAAGGTTGCATCTGGAGCATTGCAGTGCAATCCGGTAACCTTGACAATTGAATCATCCTCCGATATCAACCTTCCTTTGCATTGAAGCTCGTCTTTTCTGTCGCACATCCAGTAGATAATCGTAGATTCCGCTAGGACCCGCAAGGTCCGACGTGGAATCGGGGTTACACGAGGAGTGAAGGCGAAGAATGTGACAGTGTGTTTGGCCTCAAATCGCTCTAGTTTTCCATAAATTTCCAGCGGTTTAAAGATAAAAATGCAAATGCACGCCTTGATTGCACCTAGCACCTCTTGCTTTCTTTGGCCTTTTCTGAGCGACCAAAATGATAGTGCAATCAAGAGTAGTGACAGTGAGGGGTGGTGACACCAGCACAATGGGCGGGAACACACTGTCACATTCTTCTTCGCCTTCACTCCTCGTGTAACCCCGATTCCACGTCGGACCCTGCGGGTCCTAGCGGAATCTACGATTACACTTCCGAGCTTCGGCTTCGAATGTGACAGTGTGACTTTTAAAGTGATCCACCACCTCAACCAAGGCAAGGGCGTAGCCAAGCATTATGCGCAAAGGAGAAACGCATGTGGAGTGAAGGTACAGGCCACTCGCAGAGTGCCTGATATACAGTAAAAATGTCTCTATGTATCGAGGATACACCATATGTACAGGTGCCCTTTAAGTCGGAGACATGAAGGGAGAAAAGGGTGACAGTCAATTAAAAACGACTAGCACCGGACACAGATAATAATACTGCGACACCATGGCGAGGCTGTGTCAAAATATGGAATGTCACAATACTCCTCGAGCCAGGAATGTGGACAAAGAAGTTTGTCCCTTGCAAACCAGGGAACCAGGAAGGTCTAAGATCTGGAACCCTAGACATTTGTCTTGCTGACGGAGGCAAGGGCGAACACAACACGTACCTTCGGGAGTTGATGGCAGTGGAATACGGACAGACTAGAAGCTCCGAGGTGAACGGAGTCAAAACCATCTACATGGGAACGTGCCGCGTCAGACGTTTCCGGGGCAATTTGGATTGGGTCCCCAAGCCTGCAGAACCTCCAGAGCATTGATGACACTCCATGTGCTGGCAGGCCAGCAGTAATAGATATCAGGCATCAAATGGGTGGTCGCTACATCAGCCTGACCAATACTCCAAGAGGCCCTGAACACGTAGCTGGAGTGTCGACGAGAGAGGAGAAAGATGCATTGGTAATTGGTCTATACTGCCTC